CTTTGTGATCTTGGGTTAGGCAAAGATTTCTTAGCAATGACACCAAAAGCATGGTCCATAGAAGAAAAAAAAAAAAGATAAACTGGACTTCATAAAAATCACAAACTTCTTAACCCAGTTACCCTGATTTGATATTACACATTGTATGCATGTATCAAAAAAATATCACATGTGCCCCCAAAATTTACACAACTATTATATATTAATTAAAAAAATACAAACTTCTGTTCTTTGAAAATAGCAAAAGGCAATGTTAAGAAAATGCAAAGAAAATTCAGGGAGAAAATATTTGCATAGGTTACATCTTATAAAGGATTTGTATCTAGAGTATATATAGAACTCTCAAAACTTAATAGTAAAACAACTAACAATCCCATTTTTAAAAAATGGGCAAAATATCAATAGTCACTACGTGTATGGCAAATCAGCACTTCAAAAGATGTTCATCATTCGTCATTAGGGAAATGTATTTAAAACCACAATGAGATACTACTACATACCTATTAGACTGGCTAAATTTAAAAACACTGACCATACCAAGTGTTGGCACTGCTCATGAAAATGTAGAACAACCACTTTGGGAAACAGATAATTTCTTTAAAAGTTAAACATACACCTACCATGTGATCCAGCCATTCCACTCCTAGGTATTTTTCTAAAAGAAATGAAAACATATGTCCATACAAAGACTTGTATACAAATGATCATAATAGCTTTATTTGTAGTACCCCAGAACTCAAAACAACATAAATGCTCATTAATAAACTATTATATTTCTGAGTAATGAATAACTAGTCAGCAATAAATAGGAAAAATATTCCTGATACACACCGCATGGATAAATCTCAAAATAACTATGCTAGTGAAAGGAAACAGGTAAAAAGAGGGGCATACTGCATGTTGTCATTTATATAAAATTTTAGAAAACACAAATGAATCTATAGGAACAAAAACAGATCAGTGATTGTGTGGGGACAAGGGGGGCGGGATTCAGAGAAGCATGAGGAAACATTTGAGGGTCACAAAAATTTTCATTATCTTGACTGCAGTGATACTTTCACAGGTATATACATTTATCAAAACTTATAAAATTGTATATTTTGATGCAGTTATTGTGTCTATTATATTTCAGTAAAATTGTTTTTAAAAAAGAATTAACATGTATTCAGATAAAACTTGTGTAGATAGAATGACAAAAAGGAGGAGGATTAAATGAACTTGGAATGCTGGTCTTCTTAGATATCTACAACAAGAGATAATGGTGCCACACTTGTTATTGTGTCCTTCATATGTATGTTTCTGTGGCAGAAGTTATTGGTGGAAGGGATTGTGTATATGTTCATACTGGGAAAGGTATAAACAGAGCTATATTCTTTTGAGCATATTAACAGACTTTGGGTTATGCCTCTCATGTAGAAGTTTGAACATTTAGTCCCTGAAAATATCAGAAAATAATGGAAGAGAGAACATATCACTATGCAAATAATTTATATATAACCTTAGGAAGAAAAGTAAGCATATACTATGCTAGAGCTAATACTTATAAATATATTCACAGTAGAAAACATATATGATAGAAAACATAAATTAAATTGATTATATGAAGAAAAACTTATTTTCTTTCAGGGAAAATTAATAGACAAAAAACAAAAGGGTATTAAAATTACCTATGGCAGTGCAAACACAACGAAAGTAGAGTATTTGTGATGGGAAAAAGTCACCTACTTTCAGCCATTTTAATAATATGGCTAGGGAAAAATACATCCAAATCGAAAATCAAAATAGTTGATTAACATATTATTTTATATAACATTTTATAAGCTTTCTTTCTCTTTTTCTTCTCTATGTTCCATTCCAAACTTTTCCAGTATCAGAGTGAGTGATTAAGTATTTATTAATCATTGAAAAACACCCAAAAAACCCTTTAAGTAGATAATATTAGAATGAAAGCCATAATTGAGTTACATTTGCTCAATGTTATGATTTGAGACAGAAGTATTTTCTAAAGAATTTACAGTTACCTTAAAGCAAGGCCCAAATCATTTTACCTTTAGGATTTTATCACCTATTAACTTCTTTCTTAATTCAGTGGAAAACAAGCCAAAGACATAAATAGACAATTCTCAGATGAACAATAAACATAAAAAGCATTCCATCTTACCACTAATCTAAGAAATAAAAATACATATTAATTTGGAGATGTTCATTAAAAATGCAAATAGTGATTATCTCTGCATATATTTTGGGTTACTTTTAATTTCTTCTTTGTATTTCAATGTATTGTCTGCCTTTTTCAGTGAACATATATCATTCTCAAAAAATATAGCTATTTTAAAACTGCTTCATTAGTTGTTTGCAGAAAAAAGTCTGGCTGGCCAATGGATCACAAAAAAAGAATATAGAAACAGACTGAAGCAATTTAGTTAATGTGATAAAGGTAGCATTTCAAATATGTATGGACAGAAACACCATCAAATAAATGGTACTAGGAGAATTAGCTAGCTAATAAAAATAAATTTTAAAGAAATCTGGATCCCTAACTCATCGCTGCCTCCAAAATACCATACCTGATGGTACAAAGTTCAACATGTATATGAAACCATTAAACATGCCTTAAAAACATAAGAACATTCATTAAAAAAAGATGTCCATCATTTTAAATAAAAAAAGAAATTGCAGTACAATATTTACAGTATAACCTCATTGATTTGAATCATTTCTATAGTACATGTTTTGATTAAAATTATTCAATAAAAGGATACATACTCAGTAAGTTTTATTCACCATTGTGCCACCATTCTCTACTACATGTGCCTGGTACATGACAGGCATGAAAATATAAATTTAGTTGAATGATGAAATAAATGAACTCTTATGCACTATTGGTGGGACTATAAATTGTGATAACCTTTCTGGAGAGAGTTGGAAATATATATAAAATAATAATTTAATAATATGAAAAGATCATATCCAGAACCCTCATTTCTAGGAATTTATCTTATGAATAATTTTTACAAATGCATAGAGATACATGCTTTAGATATCCAGCACCAATTTATTATTTTATAACAGAAAAAAGGTGTATATGTAAGGGGAGAGATGATATAGAAATAGCCGCACTACAACAGGAATCTGGTTAAATTAAGGCAATTATTTCTGCGGACTATACATTTATTTAAAAATTAGATGCTGATCATTTGCTATGAAAATGTAGCCATAATTAGCTGATAAATTAAATAAGCGGATCACAAAACATAATATGATATCACATAGATAAAACACTATACATAAATAGGTATATATATGCACAAGGAAATTTCTGGAAGGAAATGAATCAAAATGCTAACAATGATTATTATTTGGTTTTTAAGATTGTCTGTTTTTAATATGACTGGAATTTTCTATATTGGAGTTTTATGTTTACAATGCTCATATACTTTGACAATAAGAGACAAACAATAAAAGTAAATTCATTTATGAAATAGAAAAGCGTTTCCTAACTTTAAAAAAATGTTTGACTAAATGACAAAGCACAAATCCTATAATAAAAAAGCAGCATAAAGGTTAATTTAACTTTAATATCTTTCCTCATTTGAAATGAATAATTCATCGTATTTTACACTTCAACTTACTACTTGTATTCTATGACCAGGTTGAGATTGTGATTAAGTAGGTTGTAAATGTGGTTAAGTAGGTTATTCTGTATACTACTATGCCAAATCACCTCTGTGGATTTTTCTGCTTCCATAAAAATATCAAGATATTGTCCAGTTAAATCTCTAAAATAATATATCCTGTAAATTTTTATTCAAATACAGATGGGTATTTTTTGTCATTCATAAAAATGGGCTAAATATGCTCCTTACCTTTCAATGAAAAGTAAACACTGGTCTTTTTGATTGTACCAAGGGAGTTGTTCTGTAGCAGAAAAGACTCCTGTAAATAAAAATAACAAATATCTGTTTTTAAGCTTCATTTTGCAAAAGTTTATTCACATATTACTGGACTTGTAAATCATACCTTAGTAATGCTACAATTTTACAATATTGAAGGAAATTGGTGGCAGAGGACATCGCATATACTGACAGAGGATGCACTTTCATTAGCACAAATTCCCCCTCCCATCCTGCTGTTTGTGGAATTGAAACCTGCTGCACAAAAGTATAATATAAACCGTCTGCTTTTTAATAATACTACCTAACATTTGAATACCCCTTTGTTTTATCGACAAGGTTGTTGCAAGCATTTCTGAGTACTACGTGGCAAGTTAGCAGCAAGGTTGGGGTATACTATATGCCCGTTTAAAAAGAGAAATATAATAAAAATGGTGTAACTGACTCACGGCAACATGGGCTCGCAAACCTTGTAGATGGATATAAACAGGCTTGCCAAACATCACAGACAGCACTTATTAAATCTGCTACGTGGAATGCAATATGCCTGCTGTCTAGCCCCTCCCCCCTCTACCAATAAAAGACTCCCCCTTTTTTTCCAGTGTAAAAATACATGCTCATAGAATAGAGAAAATCGGTATTTTAAAATCACCCATAGTCACACTACCCAATGACGCCATTTATATCATTTTCTTCCAATTTTTTCAAAAACGGATTTTTGTCAAGAGGCCCGTGACAAACCGAACGGGAATTCAGGATGGGCGGATGGGAGAAAGAAGACACTCCTCTTCTTCCCTTGTTAGAAACTATGGCTTGTATTTTTACCTCATGTCTACGCTTTTTTGTTTGTTTGTTTGTTTGTTTTTTTCTTGAATTATAAAACTATAAAGACATAATTTTGAGGGGAAAAAAATGCCTTTTGGGGGTGTGCGCCTCAGTCACCAAGGAGCGTCTGGGAAGGTGGGTGGAGCCAGGGGGAGGGGGCAGTTGCGTTTGGCCATTCATTGGGCATAAGGCTTATCAATCAAGGTTGTCCAGCAAATGAGGAGCGTACTAAAGGCACACTGGGAACGAAATTAACCGGAGGTCTGACTGCAGGGGGAGGGGGCTCGCGATCTAAAACGAGAAGAGATTTCGGGGACTCTAACTGCGCCATTCTGCTGCGGCACGTCGGGTACGCCGCAGCTGAAGCTGGGTGAGGCCTTCTTGCTGCCGCTCTCGCCCAGGCCTCCGCCGCTGCAGCCACCTCAGCGCCGACCGCCTGCAGCCTCCGCCCTGCCCTGAGCTGCTGCTGCCATCGCCGCTGCCACCTCCGCAATCCGGACCTCGGTCGCTGCCACCCAAGCATCCGTGAGTCATTGTCTGCCCCTCTCCGGGCGCGCGGTCTCTGCGGTAGTCACCACCTTAAAGAGATTTGCAGGCTTGCAAGATGGCAGAAGCAGATCTTAAAATGGTCTTGGAATCTGCCGCCCAGGGCGTTGCCGAAGAGGAGATGGCTAGCTCGTCTAGTCATTCTGGGGCAGAATCTGACTGCACCCCGAGTTGCAGCAGCAGCCCGAGTTGCAGCAGCAGCAGCCCTAGTTGCAGCAGCAGCAGCCCTAGTTGCAGCAGCAGCAGCCCGAGTTGCAGCAGCAGCAGCCCGAGTTGCAGCAGCAGCAGCGGCAGCAACAGCAGCCGCAGCCGCCTAAATGAAAAGAGGAGCGTACCTGAGCCATCCAGAAGGGCGCGGCAGGCTCCGGCTGGTCCCAGTTTCCTGGATAGGCTGCCTCAGGCGGTTAGAAATCGTGTGCAGGCGCTCAGAAATATTCAAGATGAATGTGACAAGGTAGACTCCCTCTTCCTAAAGGCAGTTCATGATCTTGAAAGAAAATATGCTGAACTCAATAAGCCTCTGTATGATAAAAGATTTCAAATCATCAATGCAGAATATGAGCCTTCAGAAGAAGAATATGAATGGAATTCAGAGGATGAGGATTTCAGCAGTGATGACGATGAGGAGGATGAGGAGGAAGACAGCTATAGTGAAATGCCTCCCTTAGAGGGTGAGGAAGAAGAAGACCCTAAAGAAAAACCTGACGTGATGAAGGCTGAAGAGAAGGAAGTTCCTAAAGAAACTCCTGCGGTAAAAGCTGAAGAAAAGGAAGTCCCTAAAAAAATTCCTGAGGTAAAAGCTGAAGAAAAGGGAGTTCCTAAAGAAATTCCTGAGGCAAAGGCTGAAGAAAAGGAAGTTCCTAAAGAAATTCCTGAGGCAAAGGCTGAAGAAAAGGAAGTTTCTAAAGAAATTCTTGAGGTAAAGGCTGAAGCAAAGGAAATTCCTAAAGAAATTCCTGAGGTAAAGGCTGAAGAAAAAGCAGATTCTAAAGATTATATGGAGGTGACTCCTGAAGTAAAAGAAGATCCTAATGGAGTCCGCCAGGCAAAGGTAGAAGATAAACAGCCTAAAGCAACAGAGGTTAAGGCAAGGGAGGCTCAGAAAAGAGTTCCTGAGGAAAGCCTTAAGGAAAGCGAGAATTTTAAGAGAGCTAGGAAGGGAAAGCCAAAAACAGAAGATCCTAAAGGCATTCCTGACTATTGGCTGACTGTTTTAAAGAATGTTGACAAGCTCGGGCCTATGATTCAGAAGTATGATGAGCCCATTCTGAAGTTCCTGTCTGATGTTAACCTGAAGTTTTCAAAACCTGGCCAGCCAGTTAGTTACACCTTTGAATTTCATTTTCTACCCAATCCATACTTCAGAAATGAGGTGCTGACGAAGACATATATAATAAAGTCGAAACCAGATCACAATGATCCCTTCTTCTCTTGGGGATGGGAAATCGAAGATTGCAAAGGCTGCAAGATAGACTGGAGAAGAGGAAAGGATGTTACTGTGACAACCACCCAGAGTCGCACAACTGCTACTGGAGAAATTGAAATCCAGCCAAGAGTGGTCCCTAATGCATCATTCTTTAATTTCTTTAGCCCTCCTGAGATTCCTAAGATCGGAAAGCTGGAACCACGAGAAGATGCTATCCTGGATGAGGACTTTGAAATTGGTCAAATTTTGCATGATCATGTCGTCCTGAAATCTATCTTTTACTATACAGGTGAAGTCAATGGCACCTGCTGTCAAGATGGCAAAGATTATGGAAACAAGAAATACCGAAAGTAAGAAAAAGATGTTGGAAGATTTTTCAAGAATCTTAAAAATTCAAGAAATGAAGCAAGTTCATACAGCCTTGAAAAAAGAAAAAGAAGAAAACCTGCCGTGTAATAACCTGAATGCTATTATTCCTTACAGTCTCGTGTTTTCATAGTTTCTTGGTAGTCTATTTAAAAAAATAATTGTCCTAAAAAGTGTCTCAGCTTATTCTATCTAGCCTATTGTAGTGTAATATTCAAAATATGTAAGCTGTTGTCGGTGATTTAAAGCATGTTAGTTTGGTGCTACAGAGTTGATTTTTGTGAAATTCTTTTGTCATGTTCCTATTAGATTGTAGCTGTGAAAACTGTCAGAATTGTTAACTGAGACAAATATTTGCTTGAAAAAAAACCACAAAATTTATGAAGTACCATTGCAAATGTTTTTTCTTTTTCCAGCCAGAAGACTAAAAGTTTAAATCTGCTTGCACTAGCTGTGCCTTTATTACTTTGCTATAGAAATACAGCATTTATACTAACTAGAACAGTGTATTGTGAAATTTGCTTGAAAAAAGATTAGCTTACATTTAAGAATGTCTGTCAAAACTACATCTGATATGACTGTGAGCTTGTTTATGTGACTTAGTGGTCTATAAATTTAATCAATATGAAGTTATTGTTTATCACTGAGGTGTTAATATGACATAGTATTTTTAAAAAGTGTTTCCTCATCTTATATCGTGTATTGTAAACTAAAGATAGCACATTTTCTTTGTAATGTGTTCTACTTTGCCTTTAATGAATATCACTTTACATCATTTGATACTGTTTTTCATGTTATTTTACTGCAACCTAAAATAAATGTCAAATAAAGTGTGTCATGCTATGAAAATCAAGCATTGTCTCCTAATTATAAAATATGTGGTGCTTGTTAAAAAAAAAAAGGTAGAAAATCATGAGGTAAAGGAAAATTTAACAAAAGATAGCTATTATTAACATTCTAATAAATTTCCCACATCTTAGCTCTTCTACTGGAGGATACACATTCAAGTTATTGAAGAAAAATGGGACAGGAAGGAGAAAGACAAGGAGACAGAGGAGGGGAAAGGGTGGATGTGGGAGGAGGGGAAGGGGAGGGGTGAGGAGGAGGAGGGAGGGGAAGAGGAGCAGGAGGAGAAAGGGGGGATGTGGGGGGAGGGTGAGGAGGAGGGAGGGGAAGAGGAATAGGAAGAGAAAGGGGAGATGTGGGAGGAGGATAAAGGGAGGGGTGAGGAGGAGGGAGGGGAAGAGGAACAGGAGAAAGGGGGGATGTGGGAGGAGGGGAGGAGGAGGGGTGGGGAGGCGGAACAGGAGGGGAAAGGGGGGATGTGGAAGGAGGGTAAGGGGAAGGATGCGGAGGAGAGGGGAAGATGGGGACCAGGGAGAAGGAGAGGGATGGGTTGGAGAGGATTGGGAGAAGAGGGGGGGCAGAGAATGGAAGGAATGGAGGGAGCAGCGGATGGAAACTGGAGAGGAGAGGGGAAGGCAGGCAGATGTGCCTCACCCAGAAAAGCCACTTATATAAGACATGCCTGGGACCCACCCTCCACCTTGAGTTGAAAGGAAGTGACACAATACCATGGTTCGGTTTTTTTTTTTTTTTTTTTTTTTTTTTTTGTTATAGTGGTCTCAGGCTCTCACGGCTTCTGCACCATGCAGCCAGTAATTAGATCCTGAGATTTTGATTTGAGACTAGTGTGAGGAGGAAGCCCCTTAAACTCAATTTACCAGAGAGCTTTGCACTGAGCATAAAGGCACAAACACAGCAAATAATAAAATGCTATCTTATTTCACGTTTGGCATTTCCCGGTCCACATTTATTTTCCTTGAAGACTTTATAGGAAAGAGGCAGGAAAAAGACAGGATTTGAGAATTTCTGGGTCTATAGGCATAAATTACCTAATAGTCTTCCCAAATACCACACTATATAGTTTATTGTTTTGCTTTTTATCTCTGCTTAACAATAGTTTTCCCCTATGTATATTAATGTAAAAATATTACAACCCATTACATATTATATTTAACCAGTCACATATGTTTGGATATCTAGGTGGTTTATGATTTATATAACATCAGGAAGCAATTTATTGTTTTTAGTGATACCACTGCATTTTTTAGATATTTTCTGTTTTATTTCTGGTATTTTTTACATTCATGAAGAATGGATATGGTATATTTATTTATATGCCAGAACCAAAATGAAGACTATAATAAATGTGATGTACTTGGTTCGCAGCTGCATAGGTTCCCAAGTTGGATATATATACTGTGCTTGTCAGACATCACAGATAGTAGAACCCTTAAAACTTCTACATGTAGCCAGGCACAATGGCTCGTGCCTGTAATCCCAGCAATTTGGGAGGCCAAGGTGGGAGGATCCCTCGAGTCTAGGAGTTGGAGACCAGCCTGGGTAACATAGTGAGACCCCTGTCTCTACAAAAAAATAAGAAAAATTAGCCCAGCATAGTGGCACACACCCGTAGTCCCAGCTACTGGAGAGGCTGAGGCCGGAGGATTGCTTGAGCTCAGGAGTTCAAGTGTACTTCAGCCTGGACAATAGAGTGACCCCCACACACACACAAAAAAAAAAAAAAAAAAAGAAGAAGAAGAAGAAGAAAAAAAGCTCTACGTGGAATGCAACATCCTTTTTGCACCTTAGAATTATTAACCAAAATATTTAGCACCTTCCCCCTCCGTATTTTCCACATTAAAGGAACACATGTCATTATAGAATATTTACAGGAAATAAAAATCACTCAGAACACACTACACTAAGATATGCTCTGTTTGTGGATTCGTGTATTTTCTCCCAGTCTGTCTTTTGTTAAGGTTTTATCATAAGTTCTTGGCTCACATCAAAAGGTGAATTCGACTGGGTGAGTGTAAGAGAAGCTAATGGGAAATACAGCTTAGTGTTCTTTTTAACTTTAAAATTTAAGGGGGGATCTGGGGGAGGCGCCAAGAATTTATGCATCAGTAAAGTTGGGATTCCTGCAATGCAAGCAGTCTGTGGTGGATGCCTCAACTACCTTGGCAGGTTAAGGAAGGTGGGCAGAGCCAGGAAACCCGTTGGGCTGGCACATTTATTGGACTGCATGTTTGTCCATCATACTTGCCCAGCCAATGAATGACATTAGAAGGAAAAGCTGGCTGAGAAGGAAGCTAAAGGGCAGGCGGTGGGGGCCTGAGAAATGTTTAACTGAGTATTTTTCTGCACCTCTCTTCTGATGTGCACAATAGTCACTCTAAACGTTTGCTCTTTTCATTTAATGTGGCAGACTCAGGCAACAAGGGACTTTCATAAGCAGCAGCAGAGGCTGCTGAAGCGGTAATGGAAGGAGCTTTCGCTGAATGAAGAAACTGACAACACAATCAATGTCTGCAAATGTCTCATTCTGCCAGCTAGAGTATGCCAAGCCAGGAGGAGCCACGCTGGTGATACCAGTATATTTGCCCTCAAAAAACTTCAGAGGCGATGTGATAAGATAGAAGCTGAATTTGATCAGAATAACAAGCTGTGGTAAAAAAATAAAGAAAAGAATAAACCCTCACTTGATGACGGTTTATATATATAAAAAAAGTATAAACCCTCATACATGCCCCGTGGGGTATGTCCACATCGTGGCCGATGTGGAGTTGTGCCTGCAGATTACAACCTGAGCATTGTGACAGTGGTGATATTTTGAATAACAAGGATCCAGATTCTGAGGGCAATAGTTAAGCTGAGAAAGAAAAAGAGGGCAAAGATTAAAAAGAAGAAAAATGATCTAGGAAAAAAAAAATACTTAAAGAACTGAGTAATATGCTGCGTTTTAAAGTTATACACTTATATTGTATTTTAACAAAATGAAAATTTCAAAACTAAGGTGTTGAAATAGATCGGAACTGATGTCAAAATGAGATTTCTTGATACCTTTCTCTCTGAACATTCAGAAATGGCAGTTTGCAAAGTGCATCAGGTTAATAAGAGGAAAATAAAGAACCTCCCTCTAAAAGCCGAAGTAATCACATTTTAAATGGGACACTCCAACTCAAAGGGAACAAGTTCCCAAAGCCTATGTATTTCCTGTAGTTCTTTATTTCTTTAAGTTCTCTTGAAATGTTACAGTGTTTTAAAGTGGAACCCATGGGGGGGGGAGTCATGTTCACTTATGACTTTGTGATGGCTGGAACGTAATTAACATACTTTTGTAATTCAGAAATGAAATTTCCCCTAAACAAGAGATTGTGTGAACCTAGGATGAGAACAAATTTAGAGGCTGACTGAGATCCTGACCCAAGTATTTATGAGATGGGAAAGCTGAGTTTTCAAGATCTGGAAAATACTTTGAACATCTGAGTTTAAAAACAATATGATTTGGTGAAGCAGTTAGTATCACCCACAGTATAATAAGTTCAACACAATTACTTAAAAATTTACATTTTGCATTTTTTGTAGAGTGTATTTTCAAAATGTCTAAAAATAAATGTTTAAGTATTAAAACACATAGCATTTCTACTTGTAGCTCTTTTAGGTATTTCCATCCCATTACTGGGCATCTACCCAAAAGAACAAAAGGCATTCTATAAAAAAGGCATCTGCACCAGAATGTTTATAGCTGCACAATTCACAATTGCAAAGATGTGGAAACAACCTAAGTGCCCATCAACACATGAGTGGGTTAATAAAGTGTAATATATATATATATATATATATATATATATACCATGAAGTTCTACTCAGCCACAAAAAACAAAGGTGATATAGCACCTCTTGTATTATCCTGGGTAGAGCTGGAACCCATTCTACTAAGTGAAGTATCCCAAGAATAGAAAAACAAGCAACACATGTACCCACCATCAAATTGGTTTTAACTGATTAACACTTAAGTGCACATATAATAATAATGTTCATCGGGTGTTGGGCAGATGTGAGGGGAGAGGAGAGGATGAGCATATTCACATCAAATGGGTGTGCACTGTCTGGGGAATGGACACGCTTGAAGCTCTGACTCAGGTGGGGCAAAGGCAATATACACAACCTAAACATTTGTACCTCCATAATATGCTGAAATAAAAAAATAATAAAATAAAATAATAAAAAAATAAAACACATACTATTTACAAGTATACCTTTCTTCAGGAGACGTAGAACAAAACAAATTCTCTGAAGCCCTGGTCCCCAACCTTTTGGGCTCCAGGGACTGGTTTCATGGAAGACAATTTTTCCACAGACCAGATATTTGGATTGGAAGCATCTTTCAACACCAAGATCATTTTTTAATTTTTTAATTTTTATTTCAGAATATTACAGGGCTACAAACGCTTTGGTTACATATATGGCCTTTGAACCACCCAAGTCAGAGCTACAAGCATGCCCAACCCCCAGACAGCACACACCACACACATTAGGTATCAATTTACCCATCCTCTCCTCCCCTCCCACCTGCCCCAAACCGATGAATTTTAATTCCATATGTGCACATAAGTGCTGATTAAGTAGTCCCAATTTAGTGGTGAGTACATGTGGTGCTTGTTTTTCTATTCCTGTGATATTTCACTTAAGAGAATTGGCTCCAGCTCCATCCAGGATAATATAAGAGGTAGTTAACTTTTTTTTTTGTAATGGCTGAGTAGACAGGATCGACACCTCTCACCTCTCACAAAAATCAACCCACCATAGATAACAAATTTAAACATAAGGCATGAAACCATAAGAATACTGGGAGAAAATATTGGAAAAACTCTTATAGACATCAGCCTAGGCAAAGAATTTATGAGGAAGACCCCAAAAGCAATCGCAGAAACAACGAAAGTAAATAAGTGGGACCTAATCAAATTAAAAAACTTCTGCACAGCCAAGAAAACTATCATTAGA